ATCTTTATGTTGTGGCCGCTTAAACTGCGCAGTGATGGATCAGAGACCGATGAAATCAGACTCGTTGCTCTGACCTGCTGCCGATGGACGCACTCAGGCCTGAGGGAACAAGAGCACCTAATGATAACTTCAAAGCATGACATTCCAAATGCGTCGCGAGACATCAGTCAGTTGTCAGGAAGGCGGCAGATTCGAACGAGCGCCGATGGACGGTGATATGGTGCTGGCCTGGGCCACGGCAGGTGCTGGATGGACAGCTGTACTATGGCAGCCGCAACCCGCGCCTCATCGTACTGGACAAGCTGCGGCAGAGGGAGATCCTCCAAGAGCTGCATGTGGACCCGGCCACCGGTGGGTGGCAGCAGAGGGCGTCCAGGGTCGGCTCGCCACTGTGGGGGATTTCTGGGCTTATTTGGGTCATTTGTATACGTGGTCCGATCGTGCGGCTGTCGCCCGAGGTTTATTATGGGCGCTGCTGCCAACTATTGTGCGAATTTGTTGCGACATTATACGGCCACCACCATCCCGCAGCGATCTACTCCACCTGATCTCGTCTCACCCCACCGGCCTCGCCCGCAGGCATCCACCTGGGCGTGAAGCGCATGTACGCGGCCATCAAGTACTACTGGCGCGGCGTGTACAACGACCTGACGCAGCACGTGCGCGTGTGCGGCGCGTGCTTCGAGGCCGAGAAGCTGGCGCGGCCGCCGGGCCTGGAGATCACCTCGCTGCCGGACCAGCAGGCGGCGGCGCAGCGGCAGGAGCGCGTGGGCGCGCCGCCGCCAGAGGCGCGCACCAAGGCGCAGGTCATGACGGACCGCGCCACGCGGGTCTGGAAGAAGGTACTCGGCTTGGCGGGGCGGAGAGGTGGCGGGGGGAACAGTGAGCGGTGGACCAGCCGGTCGGGAGGGGAGGTGTGGTCAGGAGGGAGGGGAGGGCGTCGTCGGTGGAGGACGCAGCGGTCGGGGTGGATGGGTTGGAGGTTTGTTTCCGATGCCATAGACCTGTAGAGGTAGGGGACTGACCAGCTTGTCCCGTCGCAGCGTTAAGTTATCTGGTGCTGTGTTGTAGCGCGCTTGGCATATCACGGCCCGGTGAGTGGTCGTATCGCCGCGGATTGCTTTTGGTCTGCGACGCCCTTTCCCCCTCCTTCCTAGTGAGCATGTCGACGGCGTCGCCCGCTCCCGTGAAGTGTGCGTACGTCGCCCGCGTCCCGTCCGTGATCGGGCCTGCCGTCGGGTGCCTTACCGCTGTGTTTGCCTACTGTGACCTCGCACCTCGATGCTGTCTCAGGTGGAGGCGCGCGTGTACGGGCCGTACCACCGCTCCGAGTCCGGCAGCGAGTACCTGCTGGGCCTGGTGGACCCCGTCTCGCGGTGGATCGAGGCGCTGCCCGTACCCGCCAGCGACAACTGCGTCCGGCTCGCCGACTTCATCTTCCGCACCTTCTGCACGCTCGGCTTCGCGCAGTGCGCGCTGGTCGGTGTTACCGAGCGCGAGTTTGAGGCCATGCAGGACAGGTGGGTGGCGAGGCCACGGTCGGGTGACGCCGAGAGCGGTCTCGAAAGATCCGAAACGGGATCGCAACATGTGGGTGGCATAGTTTTTCAATTTTTCGTCTTTCCTGTGGCGTTTTATGTTTTTCAGAGACTGTAAGCTCTTGTGCAGTGGTTATGTGCAAGCGAGATGTCAGCCTCGGTATTGGTTTGTTTTCACTCTTGAGCTTCCGGGCTGGTGTTCGCTTGACCGGCCTTCGGTGCGCGTCCGACAGGTACAAGGGCCGCTTTGAGCGTATGCAGGAGATCTTCCAGAAGTTGGAGCAGCCCAACACGGAGCACAGCTTCGTCTTCACCCTGCAGGAGTCGTCGCCAGAGTGCTCGTGGGCAAGTGAGTGCCGCCGCCGCTATGTATGCTCAGTGGTGTGAATGCCGGCTGTCCTCATAACTGATGCGTTCGGGGCATAGTTATTTGAACAGTGTGCTCGATCATTCTGAGCACCGCCGCTTGTTTTTAGCCAGGTGGGCATTTACGCAGGTGGGCATTTGGCCAGGTGGGCATTTGGCGTTATAGTACATTACAAGTATTGACCCACATTCACTGTGAGTTGTATTTGGTGATATCCCCATGTTTTTCGTTTTGCTCTGAAAGTGCACTCCTACCCCGGCGGAAACAAACCGGCGTGATAAGTGCGCTCGAATGTTGGTCCAACCTGCTGTCGTGTTCTCAGTGTAATACATGGTAACACTGATGTCCGCGCTCGGCTGTGGGTAGTGACCGCGTCGCTCGGATGTGGTATTGACCGTGTCGCTCGGCTGTGGGTAGTGACCGTGTCGCTCGGGTGTGTGTAGTGACCGTACCACTCGGGTGTGTTAGTGACCGTGCCCCTTGGATGTGGTAATGGCCGTGTCACTCGAATGTGATAGTGAGTGTGTGTAGTGACCGTGTCGCTCGGATGTGTGTAGCGACCGTGTCGCTCGGATGTGGCAGTGGCTGTATCGCTCGGGTGAGGGTAGTGACCGTGTCGCTCGGGCGCGTGTAGTGACCGCGTCGCTCGGGCGCGTGCAGTGACCATGTCATGCGCGCGTGCCCTGCCACCTTCCGCTCCTGGTTGACCGACACCCACCGGATGGCCGCCAGCGGAAATGATCGACGAATTCGTGGAGCAGCACGGCGACCAGTGGGACCAGGAGCTCGAGTCCTTCCTCTTCGGCTACCACGCCACACCACGCGCCGACTACGGCTTCTCGCCGTTCTACATCATGTACGGCCGCAACTCCAACGGTACGTCAGCGGCCGCCGGCCTCACGTCCCCGGCGCCCTGTCCGCGACCTGCCTTGCAGGCGGCTGGGGGAAGGGGGGGGGGGGGCTTTTGTGTCATGCTGGCTCGCCACGCAGTCTTGTGCGTCGTGGTATATCATAATTGCACGTGGTTACGATCTCACGTCACGTGGCATCGCAAACGCGATGCGTCTGGGCCCGATGCGGGTGTGGCCACATCGGCATCGGTGGCGGCATCGGCCACCGTTGGCGGTCTGACGCCGTGCCGCCGTTGACCCGGTGTCGCGGTGCCGGCCATCTCCGATATTTGGCCGCCGGCCTGATCCTGCTGCGGCCGACGCAAGCTGGGCCGGCTCCGACTCCTGAGCTGGTGACAATTCTGGCTCTTACGTAGCCGACCCCAGCTTCGTTGCCTAGACGGCCGGACTCCGACTTGGACGGCCATGACTCCGGCTCCAACTGAGCTGGCCTTGACTCGTCAGCGTTGCCGAGTAGGACAGAGCTGGAGTTGACTTCACTGAATGACGGGTTGACTGGCCGGCATTCGTGGTCAGCAGGTCTTGACTGAACAATGACGAAGATGACCGCAACTTCGGTTCTGACCTTCCCTGTGACGTTGACACTGACCGGGCAGGTGCGGTGTCGGAGGAGGACAAGGAGAACTGCACGATCCTGGAGGAGGAGAAGGCCCTGGACGCTCCAGTCCGCCCCCGCCGCCGGCTCCAGAGCAGCACACTACAGGTGGGCCCCCGCGGCGAGCCGCCGAAGCGTGCTTCGAGGCGGGCGCGGGGCGGGCACGGGCGCAGTCACGGAGGAGTGACGGGTAGAAGTGCCGACTCGAGAAGGGTTTATGTCACTTGTGTGCTTTGGGCATATTCATTAACGTTGTGATTTCGACCTTCGTGTTTAAAGAGCCTCGCTTTGTCCGGCCCTAGTAGTAATTCCGGCTGGCTGTTCCAAATTGCTGTTGCTTGAAGCTTCCATGGATGCGTTGTCGTATGATTTGCTATCGCCGACCTCGGCCGCCTCCCGCGCCTGTGACCGAGTGGTGTCTAGAAATGTTGGCTGTTACTGCTGCTCTGACTGAGCCAGTCTGACTCCTCTCCACTGACCGACTCCCTGCCGCGCAGTGCCGCCACTGCAGCGAGATCTTCACCTCCAAGATCTCGTTCCGGATCCACCAGCGCAAGCACACGGAGGAGGCCAAGAAGCTGGGCGTGCTAGACGGCGAGGAGCCGCTGCGGCCAGTCGCCATCGAGAAGAAGCTGCTGAAGAGGGCGGTGAAGCGCAAGCAGCGGCGGCCGGCGCGGCCTGGCGCGCGCGTCAGCCACCACCAGCCGCGGCCGGGGTGGACCGAGGAGCCGCCGCTGGCCGCCGGTGACGCCGCCCAGCGTCAGCAGCTCACCAGCAGCACCGTGCACGCGGTACGTCAGCTCATCGAGGCCACCCGCGACGAGCGCTCGCGCCGCGGCAAGTATATCAAGTACAGCGAGGAGCTGCGCGACGAGATCGCCGAGTACGCGCTGCGCCACGGCCAGCAGGAGGCGGCGCGCTATTACTCGCAGTGTCTGGGCGGCCAGGTGAGCCTCAGCTCCATCCGCAACTTCATCAAGGCGTACCGCGTGTTCTCGCCCGAGGTCAAGGACGAGATCGGTCGGTACGCGCTCGAGTACGGCGCTGAGGAGGCGACGGCGCACTTCAGCGCCAAGCTCAACCGCGACCTCAAGGTGGGCGTGGTGAAGAAGTACATGAAGACGTGCCGCGGCAAGCTGCAGGAGTGCGAGGAGGAGAGCGACGGTCGCAAGCCCAAACACACGTTCACAGCGCAGCTGAAGGAGGAGATTGGCCGCTACTCGCTGCAGTACGGCATCGCCGACACCATCCACCTGTACTCGGAGAAGCTGCAGTTCCCCATGAAGGAGAGCACGGTGCGCAAGTTCCGCAAAATGGTGCTGGAGAGCGAGTCGAAGGAGGAGGCGGTGACATTGGCCGTCCCGTCGACAGCGCAGCCGGCTTACGCCGAGGCGCCGGTCGAGATGCAGCTGGCGCAGCAGGTGAACGTCATCAGCCAGCCGGTGAGCGTGGCGCCCAGCTACGTGTACAACACGTACACGATCCCGGCCAGCCAGGCCGGCCAGACGTTCGCCTACCCGCAGGCGGGCAGCATCCTGGTGAACCCGTACTCGCAGCCGCCGCCGAGCTACCAGCCTTTCTCGTGCGCGCCGGCGCCGGCGCCGCAGACGTCCGCCTACATCAGCAACCCGATGATCCCAGTGATCCAGCAGGCGCCGTCGGCGGCCGTGCAGCAGCAGCAGTACGTGCCGCAGCTGATGGAGCACCTGGACATGCGGCCGGAGGCGGCGTACGCGCGTCAGGACCCGCTCGAGCTGGCCACCTCCGAGGCGAACATCCCGGGGGCTTACGGCGTGCCGGCGGCGTCGGCGCACGCGGCCGTGCCCATGCAGGCGGCCCCGCTGCCGCCGCCGCCGCCGCCGCTGCCCGAGCCGGCCGAGATGGCGCCGCCGCCGCCGCCGGCACCGGCGCCCGTCCCATCCCGCGCAGCCGCCGCCCGCGACGGCGGCGCACAAGGTGGAGCTGGCGGACGAGGACGACCCCAACGACGAGGACGAGCCGGACGAGGCGCCGCGGCGACGGCGGCGCGCGCGCCGCGGCCGCCGCGTTGGCGCGCACGGCGTCGACCGCAAGCGCGGCAACTACGCCTCGTACAGCCCCGAGATCCGCGCCGAGATCGGCCGCTACGCGTACGAGCACGGCAACCACGCGGCCACGCAGCACTTCCGCGGCAAGCTCGGCTGCGACCTGCCGGAGAGCACGGTGCGCGGGCTGAAGGAGAAGTATATCGTCAAGCTGCGCCGCAACGACGCTGACGAGGTGACGGCGCTGGGGTTCGCGCAGCGTGGCCGCCCCATCCGGCTTGGCAAGTACGACCGGCTGGTGCAGGACTGCATCCGGGAGCTGGTGGCGCAGGGCGAGAAGGTCTCCAGCTTCCTCTGCATCGCCACGGCCAAACAGGTGCTGATGCAGCACGAGCCGGACCTGCTGGACGAACGCGGCGGCCCGATCAAGCTGAACCCCACCTGGGCTAAGTCGTTCCTCAACCGGCTGGGTCTCAACCAGCACAACTCGTGAAGCCCGGAGGCGCTGGGACGGCTGCGGTCAGGCTGGGCGAGAGGCGAGGAGGGTGTGGATAAGGACAGTGTAGGGCAGGGATGGGAGTGGGCTGTACCCAGCGGTACGTCTGTACCAAGTGGTACGACTGGGCTGTACCTAGCGGTACGTCGTCGTGCGGGTCGGTTGTCTGCTTCCCTCCTCGCGACCCTTATGTTCTGTGGCATCACTGACTCCCTGTTCTAGGTTGACCTTTAATGTGCCGCGCTTGTGTCTGGTGACCTTGGTACGGGCTCGGTGTCAGCGAGCCGGTGTTGTGGGACAGTTTCAGCTCGTTTACCAGTTCGTATATTGCGGTACCATCTCCTAGCTCACAGTACAAAGGCTTGTTTGTCTACGTTTTGTCTTTTGGCCTTGTGATGTGCCCGACCTACCCTGTGTCTGGCTTCAAGCCGTGCTAATCTGACTGGTTCTGTTCGTGCTTCGTCTCAAAGCCAGCTGATCTGCCCGGCCTTATCTGCGTTTCGTCTCGAGGATTGATCTGCCTGGTCTTGTGTACTTTTCGTCCCGAGGCTCGGTGGTTTGCCTGGTCGGCAAGCTGAGACACGGCGCCCCTGTGTCCTCCCACCGACTGTAGCGAAGCCGTGCCACCGGCTTCCCGCCATACTCGCCACTGGTTGTGAACTCGCGCGTCTGCAGTGCGCGCCGCCGCCGCTCGACCCGGTGGCGCTGGCGTCGGCTGCATATCAGAGATTCGAGCTTGAGACGCCGGTTCGTCCGTGGGCGGATCTCTCGGAAGTGATTGGGCTGTAAGGTGTATTTTCGTATGAATATATTTGCATGACACAGCGCTGTGGTTTGTCAGGAGACAGCATGTCTAACGTGGGGTGCCTGTGGCATAGGTGAACAACCATTAAGGTGCAGCAGAACACAAGCGCACATTTTACGCAGGGGGTCCTCAGTGGCATTGTGTGGTCTCAGCTCGAGGGGTCTGGAAACACATCAAGACAAACAGAGCATCGCTCTCATGGCACCTACACGTCATCAATGTCTCACGACGACTCGGAAGCACTGCCGTGATGCTTGCTGGGAGGCACTGATACACCAGCCAATGTAAGGTTATTGGAAAGTAGGCCGTAACTGTAGTGCGATGCTGAGCATGCGTCTCCATCCTCCGAACCTGATTCAGGATGAGGATGGCGCATACAAATTGACACAAATTACAGAAGATGGTTGACATGAGAATTAAACGGACAAGAGAAGAGGGCATGCACTTTCACGATCGATTTTACTCACGCATAAGAAAAAAAACATTTTGCCACGCACGCAGTTGGTTCCGCACGTCCGCTACCCTTCCATCATGACTAATCATCAGGACGGAATCGCCCACGGCACCCGGTACGCGGCCACGGCGGAATACAAATCGACGGGAGCCCGATGGCAGATAATCAATTTCAGCGCCACGACGGCCTCTGCGCGAGGCGAATCGTGCACTGACGCGTCGACTGGCCGTGCGTCCTCGCAGGCGGGGAATCTCCTCACCACTGGTCACGACCAACCAGCGCAGGCGGGGAATCTCCTCACCGCTGGTCACGACCAACCAGCGCGGGGCGGGGAATCTCCTCACCGCTGGTCACGACCAACCAACGCAGGCGGGGAATCTCCTCACCACTGGTCACGACCAACCAGCGCAGGCGGGAAGTCTCCTCACCACTGGTCACGACCAACCAGCGCAGGCGGGGAATCTCCTCACCACTGGTCACGACCAACCAGCGTGGGGCGGCGCAACACCGGCACGGCTCCTCGTAACGAGCGGCTGAGCTCGAGCACTCCCAGCGCCAGTGGACGGGCACTCCGGCACGGGCCGCCCAAGCGGGAGGCACTCAAAGCTTCCTGCGTGTCCGGGAGCGGAGGCCCACGCCGAACTGGGTGGTGTCCATGGACGGGAAGGCTAGTGGGTCCCAGAAGCCTGCAACACGCCGGTGGGCACACAGGGAGTGGTGTCACGCACAATGCCAGCAGCAGCATGTTTGAGGCTTGAGGAGTGGTGTTTCACGCTACCAGCAAAGCAGCAACATAAAAGCGCTACGGTAGTAGGCTGGAAGATGAGGAGCAGAGCCTCACCAAACATCATGCAGAGCGCTGCCCGTGAGATGTTTATGTCGGTCCGTTCTCCAGAATATCCTGTAGTAAGCCGACTTTCCAGTCAGGTAGGATTAACACCGACAAGGGAGACAGGGGAACACCAACATTTCCAAACAAAAACACGTCAAACGCGGCGGGGCAGTGCCAACATTCCCATACGCCACTTCATACAGGCTCGACTGGCGACCTGTATGTTGACTAACACGACTAAAGCATAGGGTACATCAACACTCTAAAAGCTGCTGTTAACTTGTGGTGCCATCCGTTGGCACCACAAACACACTCCCCCAGGAACAGGCTTGACGGCGTGCCATCGGATTCCACCGCGGCCCTCGAGATGACATCGTGGTTCGCACATTGATTTCGCGACCCCGAACTGACCTGGTATTCAATTGAGCGAATGTTCTGATATGACCTAACCTATCGCCGTGCCTGGTGATGCAGTGAGAAAGATAATTTGACTTGGTGGTTTGACGGGTTTCAGTAGACAGCATGGATTGTTAACATAGCAGTGTGCACGGCAGTGATGATATGTTTCTACTTTACGGCGTGTATTTTAGTTCACCACCTTGAACAGAAGATCGCTCCTCATTGCCAGTCACCGTCTCGAAATTGCTACCTATGACGTCACAGGTACGTGAGTCGCACGCACATCAGTGCTGTAGCCCGAGGGTTGCATAAATCGCATCGTGCATCTCATCTTAAACGTGCAATCTAAACGATAGCAGTTTCCTAACTTCTGGTGTCCAGTTTTAACTTCAACGACTGTCAACATTTCTCGTTCCACTCAGAACCGGCCTGCGCCGTTATTCATGCTTCCGTCAGTTCTAAAGGTGGCAAATATCCTCTGGCACAACTGGGATCGGTTTCAAGGTCTTCGCCAACCTAACGGAATATTAATCGTATCTGAATGCATAAATAGCAATACTCACGTTTAGCGCGATCCTCTTGCCCAGATATTAATAAAAGCATATTCCGCAGGCAACAGTCCGGACGGCCACTTGGATTTCGATGAACCAATAGCTGCGTAACTAAAATTTCCCAGGCTGTATAACAAGCGTTAAAGACACGTTTACGGATTTCAGGATCACACTCGACTGAAGGCGAAACTTGGTGTGCAATACAAGTTCAGACGCTGACTGAAAAAATGTACATTTAGACATCTCAACTTAGAAGTTATTGTGAGCCAAAGTTTGTTTTTCACTTAAGTAAATTTCGTCTAAGAACTGCAAAACAATCAGATGAGGCCATAGGCCACAAGCTCCGTACCAAGCCCCCCATAGGGGGGCTTGGTAAGGAGCTTGTCTGGTAGATATGCTAGGCAGTATAACAAACTGAATACGGCCACTTCAGTATGAAACTTAGACTGCGCGCTAATGCCCGAACGTGCCGACTTCAACTGTTTTCTTGCCTATCTGTGGCCTGGGGCGTGATTTAACAAGATGAGTGAGGGAGGGCTGAGCAATGACTTATGACAAAACTTACTCCCATCCCAAAAAGCGCCAACAAAAAAGGATATTCAATTGAACGGGACACAAATGCCTCTCGGAGTTGAGGGGGGAGCTTTACCCCAAGTGGGGGAAGGAGGTTGAAAGCCCAGTTAGGGAAGCCTGTAGCCCCTGCACTCTCTTAAATCACATTATTTTAGTGGCAAAACAGTCTGATTTCACCTCTGCGATGTTTTCATTCGCCCGCCAGTGATGTTGTTAAGCAGCTTACTGCCATCCGACCACAGACTTGGCTTAAGTTACAAGAAACGGCAGAGGTAGGTAAAGCCTGGTGCCTATCATATCTAAAGATGACCGATTCGAATCCCCGAAGCCCTGTGATAACTCTGTATATACGTGTATATATATATATATATATATATATATATATATATATATATATATATAACACCATCCTGTCTGCTTGGGAAAACAGAGTCGAGAAAAGGCTTATTCTGAGGCAACACCACAGAAAACACAGGGGCATATTTTGAGTTAGGTTCACGTCAACCTCGCTCGCGCCGCCGCTCGGTAGGCACCTGGCGCTGCGGCGGCCAGCCGGCCGAGGCCGACGCACCGCGCGCCGGGCGTCAAGGCCGCTCGGCGCCGCACGCCGCTCGAAATAGGCGCCGCACGCCGCAGCGCGCCGTCCTCTGAGCGACGGCAGGCCGAGCGGCAGCCGGGGCAGGGAAGAACACGCCAGGGCGACGGAGCTCGTGGAGGAGCTATGGGGGAGCCACCGTCGCGTCCGCATGGAGGCGCTGGTGGTGGGGGTACCCCGGCCCGTGCGACCCTGGCAACCGCACATATATCCAGAAGCGGTGCTGACAGTCGCGTGCACGTCTTTTGATGCCGGCGTTAAAGCCTTAACACGCGCTCGGGCGGGGTCAAATTGACCCCTCCCCCCCCCCGAAAGCTTTTCCATAATGGTTTTCGAGCGGCGCGGCGCAGCCGCGCCAAATTGTGCACAGCTGTAGACAAATGAATAGCGGATCGTTTGGTATCAACAATTTAGATTTACCTTGTAAGGCCGCTGAACTACGGCTGGTCAAAATCAGGCCATGGTTTCAGCGAAGTTCATTTATAGGAACCGTTCAGTCTGATGCAACAACCGAGTGTTAGATGAAACCGCCCATCTCTAAGATACCTTCGTAGGCCCCACAACAACTGAATAAATAAATTCCAAGTATGAGGTCAGACCAAGGTCAAGACCAACCTGTTTTATCACCCTTGGGTTTGCTGTATGAAGTAGTTCGATGCTCATTCCGCATTCATCGATAACAGGTACCGCACTTTACACCTTCCATGGGCTTCTCAAAGGTCAGAATAAGTCAATGACTGAGAATGATCCGTGCCAACATTTTGTTTTTAGGAGCGTACGGCCCAACGTGATATTTGTCGCTTATTCCACTGCGAAACTCAAAACAGTCTTACATAATTTTGGTCACCATAACCTTCAAAAGGTCAAACAAGGTCACTAACCGTAAATGAGTGACCGCTTGCTCATATTAGGTATCTAGGTTCCCGGGGCAATTTGGAAACCAATCTGAAGTTTGACCTTGTTTGACCCTATTTGACCCGAGGGCCATGACTTAGAAACCTCAAACTTTGACCTAAATGAGTTCACATACAGACCAACACATCCTGTACATTTGGTGTCTCTAGCTCTCTTAGTTCCTGAGATCTCAGGCGGGTCTAATTGATTCCCCACCCGAGCAAACGTTATCCAGCCGGCCACTCGGGCGAGTGTTCCGCGACACCTGTCACGGCGCACCACCAGCGGGGCAGCTCGTATACCTGGGACTGAACAATTAACTATGACATCTGGACCACTCAGCTGGCCTGTGGTCAGCCATTTTAGCCATCCACCCGGCATTCTAATCCTTGACAACTGTACGGAGTCCAGACGTTCAGCTCTATATAGCTCTGTATAGTTTCATGTAATTATACAACTCCACGTAGCTCTAAGCGGCCCTGTATAAAGTACCCCGAACTCGGCCCATCATACAGTGGCCTTCCAAAACGCTTGCAGTCATCATGTGCGACGATTTCAGGGTTCGAGCTGACTAAACCCTCCGAAAAAGACATGGCGACCGGTGAGTACGTCAGCGGGTGGGTAGAGTGCGGGCAAGGCGAGTTAATAGGCAGCGGGAGGGCATACCCCACACACGTCGGTCATGGTGAGGGTGTGGTAATGGTTATAGATGGTGGACAAATATAAATGCGCAGCACGTGTTTCAGTGACATGAGGTTGGTGGCTTCGTTCAGAAATGCACTTTGAATCGGCTGTGTAGGTGGCCACAAGTATTTCAGAAGCAGAGCTTGTTGCGTGTACCCTGGATCCGCCATCTCAGCTTCACCGTTCCAGCTCATGAAATACTGCTGTTTGCATTGTTTGCCATGCAGGAATGTTCCCGGGCCAGCGCACTGCTTTAACACAGCCTCCCCACACCAGCTGCCCTTCTCATGTCAGCCGCACCAAAGAAGGCGCCCTGCAGGGACCCACACCACGCACGGCTGTGTTGCGAGGGCGGCATAGTTCTCCACATCATGGAGGCGTTCGAAAAGTGCCGTGTCATCCTACAGACCATCATCGTTAAAAATGACAGCGGCAGAGTATCACGCTGCTGGAAATCCGATAAGGGCTTGCCGGGCGGAATTTCCGGGTCCCCTGTGGCTAATCTGGATCACACGACGAATTCGCGAAATCTCGCCGATCTTGAAAGTGGCGCCAATTGCGGCGCAAGTGCGCTTTTATTACCGGAACTGTCTGTGACTCCTGCAGCGCTTAGGAGAGGCACCGCGCGAGGCGTTGTGGCGTGGTCACTTATGATACCACATGCAGCAGGTCACGGCCGGCGTCTGCCTACGAATAGTGCGCCACCGGCGGCGCGTGCCACCGTGTCACGAGGTCCGATTTCACCCGGGGGCGTGTCCTGAGGTGTATGGCCTCCGCGGATCTTACCTGACCTGGTCGCGTGACAGACGGCGTCTGACCCGCCCGAGCAAGCACCGTAGCCGGCGGTGGTGCGTGACCTGACGTGACCTGACCTGGCGGCGTGTCCGGAGGTGGCGGCTCCCGTTGTCGGTGGCGGCTGCACCGGTTCATGTGCTCCCGCAGCTGGGACTCGGAGAACCCCCTGTCCGCGTACCACTGAAGCACGCGCCACACGACACCGGTCATACCACCCGACCCCGCCGCAGCGTCGCCGGCCGCAGGAGCACTGCTCTCGTCTCGTCCGCGGTCAGTCGCAGGCAAGGCCACAGCAGGTCAGCACTGCTCTCGTCTGGTCCGCAGTCAGTCACGGGCACGGCCACAGTAGGTCAGCAATGCTCTCGTCTATTCAGAGGCACGGCCACAGCAGGTCAGCACTGCTCTCGTCTGGTCGCAGTCAGTCACAGGCAAGGCCATAGCAGGTCAGCACTGCTCCCGTCTGGTCCGCAGTCAGTCACAGGCAAGGCCACAGCAGGTCATCGATGGCGGGGAGTTTAACAAGCTTGTTGGTATCGGCCCGTGGGTATGGCTGCACACTACCAACTCCTGTCACCACCACGCGTGAACGTCATCTCGAGTTATTTGGAAACTGCGCCGATACAGTCGGTCTAAATTGGACATTCCGTTTCCGAGGCGACCCAAACCACAACCAAGAAAGGGTAAATCCCCACCTATGGCCCAGACAACAGACAGTCCTCCCCTCAAGGTTGCATGCGGGTGCCGCCCTACACCTACTCACTATACACATAAAAAGCAGACACGCTGGGCAAGCCCTCCTCGTCCTGCAGGGCTCACGAGCACATGAAGGCCCCGGCCGGAGCTGCCACTCACCTCCCCTTCCCGCAGAGCTAACTAGCACATGCAGGCCCCGGCGGGACCTGACGCCCACCTCCTTGCAGAGGTTGAAGGCCGAGCCGGGCAGCCTCGACCGGACCTGACACCCACCTCCTTGCAGAGGTTGCAGGCCCTGACCGGACCTGACACTCACCTCCTTGCAGAGGTTGTAGGCCCCGGCCGGACCTGGCATTCACCTCCTTGCAGAGGTTGCAGGCCCTGACCGGACCTGACACTCACCTTGCAGAGGTTGCAGGCCCTGACCGGACCTGACACCCACCTCCTTGCAGAGGTTGTAGGCCCTGACCGGACCTGACACCCACCTCCTTACAGAGGTTGCAGGCCCTGACCGGACCTGACACTCACCTCCTTGCAGAGGTTGTAGGCCCCGGCCGGACCTGGAACTCACCTCCTTGCAGAGGTTGCAGGCCCTGACCGGACCTGACACTCACCTCCTTGCAGAGGTTGCAGGCCCTGACCGGACCTGACACCCACCTCCTTGCAGAGGTTGCAGGCCCAGCCGGGCAGCTTCTGTCGGTCGGCCTTGCGCCGGACGGGGCCCTGGTCATACCGGAAGGCCGGGCCGGCCGACGGCTGGTCACCAAACACCGGGCTGTGGGTCAGGTCAGGGGCCGGTCACCTCGGCGAGACCATCAATGACTAATCTTCAAGTTTCATCCCCTAGCCTTACCCATAAAACAGATACCCAGAAGTATGCTAGATGTAACAGCGATACCACAAGTATGTAATATGTAATGCGACATGTAACAGCAATGACAATGTAACACTTCTGAACATGATGATGATAACACAACTGCGCACTCCGCATAAGCGGGCAAATAACGTGCCGTATACATGGCTCACTTCTCTCACAAGCTCACCGCTAGTGAACACAACCTCAGACGAATTATCTAGTGAAAGACGAGCTGTATCAACTGCGCATCGGCTCACTGGTACCTACTGATCGCTTACTGCTAATTGCTTTCTGCTGCTAACCGCCTTGAAACTGGAAAGTTCTTCTCACTGGTTCCCTACCTCAGTTTACTAACTGGCTATCGCGAACAAACGACTGGCCGTCCGAGCCACTGACCACTGGCTGACCAGCGCGCTGCGGCAGGACCGACTGAGCTCACCTGGTGATCTCAGTGTCGTCCTGCGACTGACGTAACTTCTGATCAGCTGGCCGGGCCGGGACCTCAGCGCCGCCCCGGGACTGTATCAGTGCCTCGCCGGTCTGCTGGGAAGAGGCACCACGTGCCGCCATCCGGACAGACTCGTGCTGACAGCTTACCCCTTCCGCCGGTAGCGGCGAGGAGGCCCTCGGAGCAGGAGGCGAGGAGGCTCCCGGAGGGGGCGGCGAGGACACTGTTAAAGGAGGCAAGGAGACTCCCGGAAGAGGCGAGGAGGCTCCCTGAGGAGGAGGCGAGGAGACTCCCGGAGCAGGAGGCGAGGAGGCTCCCGGAATAGGCGAGGGGGCTCCCTGAGGAGGAGGCGAGGAGCCTCCCGGAGGGGAAGGCGAGGACGCCCCTGGAGAAAGAGGCGAGGAGGCCCCTTGTCTCAACGCAGCGGCTGCCGTCGCCGCACGCAGCCGGCCGTCCCGGTTATGGTTCGCGCCCTCTCCGCGCTCGCCCTCGGCCTCTCCCTGGCTCCACTGCGCCCCCGGCTGATCGTGCAGCTCGTCCATCAACTCGTCCAGCTTCAACAGCGACTCGGCAGGCGACAGATCAGCATTCGGGACGGGTGCAGACCCGGCGGAGTCCGCCGACAGTGCTCCCCCTGCCAGAGGTGGCACGAGCTGCGCAGCGCTCGAGGCGACGGCGGCTGAAGTCGACGCACGCATCGGGTCGAGCCGCGGTTTCTTCTGCGGCGCGAGCAGTGCCGGAGACGCGGGTGGAGTCGACACCGGCGTCTTCCTCGGAGAAGCCGGCGCTGCTATCCGCGACCTTCGCGGCGGGTAGGGATCGTTCGCACTGATGATGATGTACTTCCTTTTCTTCGGCGTGGCTAGGTTGCTCGCTCCACCGCCGGCTGCGGAGAGCGGCGGCGGGCCTATCTGCGGCACACGTTGGGCGCAGTTATCCGGCCCGCGGCAGCCCGCCTCGCCACCGGTCGCCTCTCGGGCCACCCACTCGGCCCCCGGACGCCCCGGTGACGTCTCGAAGAACGTCTCGTCCGCGGCGCCCCGTGACCAGTCCCCGCGCCGGCCGCCGGCTGCGGCGGCGGGCGCCGCGGGCGGGCGGTGGAGCCCCAGCGGTCGCTGAGTCAGCAGCAGCGGGGACTCCGCGCAGGGACCGGCCGGTGGCGGCGCCGCCGGCCGGCCAGACTCGCCGCCGTAGGCAGCAAACGCGGCAGCAGCGGCGGCGGGGCGGCGGCGGCGACGGTGGCGTCGGCGCCGACCGCCCCTGCCGCCGGAGTCGCTGGCGCCAGCGAGGCAGCCACGTCCGGACAGCACCGGACTCCCCGCGTCCAGCGGCGGCGGACGCGGCGGCGTCAGCGGTGCCGTCTCCGCCACGGGCTGCGGCCGGCAGCCGGGCTGCGGCGGCAATGGCTCGGCCGTCTCTGGCGCGAGCACGGCCGGCGGAGGAGAACGGCAGAGCACGGCCGGCGCTGTCTCGGGCACGGGCTGCTGCCACGTGCGCCGGGGCGAGGCGTCCACGGTCTCGGGTACCAGAACTGCCGGAGGGGAGAGCGGCGACGACGCTGGCGACGTCGGCGAGGAGGTGACGTCGGCGCTGCGGGAGAGACGCTGGTCACAGTGAATCACGTGCAATGAGGGCGTGCACAGAATGACTGCCGGGTAGTACGGTGGAATACACAGTTATTGGGAACGCTTTTCTCATTTCTGCCCAGCAAAATTTTACCGATGGATGTTTTGAACCTTCGCCTCCTGTTGGTAAGGCATCAACAATGTCGGCGCGAATATGGATTTGTCCACCAAGTGACCTGAAATCGGCAAAATGTGGATCTGCCTACCAGGATAAAGATGCGTGTGCACCGCGCATGCGAGGTCCTAAATTACTTTCAATTTCCGTTCTTCAGAATTGTCCACAGCATGTGCGATCTCGCGTTTGCGCCGCTTTCAAACATCCCCCGTGGCCGGCGGTCACTCACAGCTCTGTAACGGTCTGGCTGGAGTGGGCTTCGCTCGCTTGGCTGGGCTGGACCTGGGAGGGCGAGGAGGGCGCGTTTGGGGCGCAGCTCAGCCGGTGACGCTCCTCCAGCACCCCTACAAGCGAATGACGCCAGGTCAGTCATAGCACTGCAGCCGGTTATCGGGGCTTTAAGGCGTGTCGACTTCAGTGGTCATTTTGCGCCTATCGCACCGCGACAGGATACGGCCGGGGAAATACCGGCGCCCACAGACCACGAGGAACTTTCCTCGCGGATTCTGACGCAACGGCAAAACGAGCGGACGCGAGAAGCCAATACGTAAATATAGCTTGCATGTGCTACGAGACATTTGATGTTTCGTCAATAAAAATAAAATGATTCCGGCCTCCATCCGACACAGAACGGCGACAGGCAACGAGTGACGGACCAAGCCAGAACCACGTTCTACCAATTGTCCAGCACTCCCCGGTGCCACAAGCAAGAAGTAGACCTGTTTTTACCTTTGAAGACGACGTAGAGCGTCTTGAGGAGCATGGTGAGGGCCCTCTCGTCTGGGTCGGCCACGTCCATCAGAGCGGCCGGATCCGGAAAGGCCGGCACCAGTCCTGTCCAGAACTCCCGCAGCCGACACCCGGCCTCCATCTGACACAGAACGGTGACAGGCAGCGAGTGACGGGCCGAGCCAGAACCGCCAACGGCCTGAGAAGCCGCGGCTGTGTTAGCTCGGCCATCCCCAGCGTACATGACCTTCTGCGCGGCCTCTGCCTGGCTGGTGTGGTAACTCTCCCCTCCGGTCCAGGATTACATACACTCAGTCAGATGCGATTGGATTAATCGGACTGGTTTGATCGCACCAATCCAATATTTTTGTTTCTTACGGTAGGGATTGGGCTTTTAAGGTGTGCCACCTTCTTTGCACAGTTTACTTATTGTTAGATCAGACAAGTTCGATGTGATCCGTGACATCTGATAGCTCATAATTTGTTTGAAGTAGCCGTCGGGGGAATCTTACTGGACTTCCTGCTCTCCATACAAATTTGTCCCGCATCCTCCCACGCGCGTGCGCTGGGATGCTTGCCGCACCCACGCTGATTTGCCAGGATGATTGGGTATTAAATGTTAAGAAAGCTTGAAACACCACGTTCAGAGAAAATGCACACATGCAAACACCAGGCCATTATCTCGCGAATCCAACGAAACGTTACACTATGGCTTTGATTTCACCCTTATGGCGTTAAGCACAGTAGGTTTTTTCCGGAGCACCAACGGAATAATTTCATATGCCTGGGATACCTTTTTCTGCATTTTGCAGGATGTGCCTTTACCATTGTCATGATTTAAACGGCGAGAACAAGAGAATTTTCTCCTGGACTGTGAGGGCTCTGCGAAAGCATCCAGGATACACCCTATTTGTTTGCAAAACTGTTATAGGATCCGAGTAACATCATAAACAACCACTACTTGTATTGAAATGAAAGGCAGTTGCAACGATTCATAAAGACTCAAGCAACACCAGCTAGGTTGAAATCACAAAGTCGTGTTGTAACACGCGCATACAGGTCTCGCAGAACGACACGCACCGTCCGTAATACACTAAGGCAAGTAAATTCGTCGACAAACACATCACATCCCAACTAAAAACCGTAAATGGAGCCGATTTCCTTAGTAATTCGCTCCAAATCCCGCGGAACATGAGCATCCAACGCACAGCAACCAGGCTTGGATGTGAAGGTAAAAGAATCGTAGAACAAAGTTAGGCAAGACCTGCAATGTGAACGGCTTAGAGCTTCTTAGGTAAACGCCGGCCTGACTTGATCACCGCTTGTGAGCTTGCATGTAACACGTACTCTAGCAAATTGTACAGGCTCGCGTCCACGCGAACAGCGAGCGTTATGACAAACGTGTGACTCGCAGAGTACGTCGGTGATGCGGCCGTGGAAAATCAGGCCACAAGTTCACCAGACGTTCTAGAATGGTAACGACATTCGACGACATGACTACACACAAAGTGCACCCGCATGCAACACTCTCGTCACTATGCACTGGTCACTGCTTGCTATTCGTTTTCTGTCTGGACTGCTCGGGTCAGCAATTTTCTACGACAATCGCACCAAAACTTATCGGAGCATCTGCCCACGTATCGTGAGATCGTCCCAGCAGAAATGCCCGGCAGTAGCACTCGAGGCAGCCACGATTAGTCGCTGCGCCAGAGGTGCGGCGCGACAGGACCGAAGGCGCCACACCGCCACGACCCTGTTGGTCCTAACGGTTCATCCTGGATCATCGCTCGCAATGCCTCCGCTCGTGCAGTCATCACTGGTCACATCTGGCCAACTTTGGTACCGGGACACCTGGCCACCAGTTGGCCAGGACGTCTGGTCTCACCAGAGGCTCATTTTGCCCGCTACAGCCCCTACACGCTGCGGCCCATCCTCACTCCAGTCCCTCGCCTATCCGTCCAGCTCTAGCGCCAGGCCCTCCACATCGTCGGCCCAGTCCAGAACCTCCTGCTCCTGCTCCTGCGCCGGTGGCGGCGCGGCCGCCGCAGTGCCATCCGCCGGGTCCGACAACACTGACGAGCTGTCGGACCCCGACTCGCCGGCACGCAGCGCAGCCAGCTTGACCGGGTCGTTCCAGTAGTGCAGGTGCACGCGCCAGCACTTGACGGCGTTGTCCCAGCGGCGGCGGCTCTGCAGGCGGCGCTTGACCGGCGTGCGCGGGTGGTAGCCGAGCCGCTGGGCGCGCGGCACCGCCGCCGTGTACTGCTGGTACGACAGCGTGTTCTTGCCGTACTCGATCTGCTTCTCGCGGCGCGACAGCACCACCGGGTCCGTCTCGACGGCGAACGGCGGCACGCGCGCCGGCCGCGCCGACTTGCGCGGCGAGCGGCGCGGCGCGGCGGCCGCCGCGTCCGGGCGTGGCCACGACGAGACGGAGGAGTCACGTGACGGCCGCGCTCCACTCGCCGGCGACCGGTCGCTCATCGCCGTGTGGGGCGGCGAACGCTGAGCCGGCACGAGCGAGCAACAAACACTGCAACAGATTTCAGAGTGTATTCAGATAAAAACATGTACACAAGATACTACAAAATGGTCTTGCACTCCTGGCAGACAACATACTGACAGTGGTTCCATGCAGTGGCATGGATATTATATGCTGACAGGGCATATAGGAAAAGACAACTAGCTTTGCATGTGTGCTTCAGAGTAAAATGATGAAATACATCGTGAAGTATATGAGTACCATCACTGAAATTGTAACAAAACACCAAACACATCACATACCTATCATATAGGCAAACCAGTCATTTGCATGCAGTTTTATCTTTTCGAAGACAAGGTCACCAAGGCATCCATGATGCCATAATAATACCATTCATGTCCCACCATTCCGCTGACAAAGCAGTGATCAAGGCCAAAAAAATATGTCTGTCAGGTTTGTCAAATCTGACATTCATGAGCATGATTTCCAGATGTCGCTGACATGAAATGGCTATTGATCAGAACTGGACAAGGTACAATGACAAACAAACAAGATGCATTAAAAATCATATTTGCTAAACAGAGATCATGTTGTCTAGAGCAGCCTTTTCCACTAAAAAGCATACCCATAGTTATATAACCATATAATCAATATGATTATACATGTACATATATTGATAATGATTATAATCATATAATCACTTTGATTATATTGACTATGTAATGAATAATCAATATAATCAGCTCACTTTTATGTCTTCATATATAGAACATTTCCTTTAATGTGTGACAATGCTTAGAGACATAGTCACCGCTTTGGTATTCAAACCAAATTATTAATCCACAAGTAATGCCACCAGCTTAGAAAAAGTATAAAATCCCAGCTCATCTGCAAGATTGCCAGGGGAAAGTAATGCTGTGATGCTTGGTACTGCCCATCCCACCCTCTGAACTGACCTGACTCCCAAGTGGTGCAGGCACCACTTTCAGGTCATCCCAGTGAGCAGGCATACCAACTAAAAACCAAGCCATCCCACCATGAGTAGGATGGTTGGCAGGCGCTCATACTAATATGCCACCGAACCTACAACTTGTCTATATTAATAATGTCTTTTGGGGCAAGGGTATACAGCATGGCCTCGCACTGAGGACAAATTGCTTTACTGGCCACATATCATCAGGATAACTATGGTCATGGTCATTAAAGAATCAAATCCTTGACAATGCCAGAGCTCTGCTAAGCTGGAACTCTTGGCTTTCAAAGATGGTCTGACACACCAACATCACTTTATGAAAGCATATTTACAACACTGAATACATTTTATTACTAATTCCTTGATGATCAGAATGACATAATCACATTTCACTGGTCAGTTAGTCCTCACAGCATTCTAATGACCTGGAACCAAGATGCCAGAAAGATGGCTAAATATCTGGATTACACAACTTGTTATCTGCAGTAAAAAAGAGCAACTTTACAAGCTTCAGCTAGAAAGGTCCAACATATCAGTACATGAGCCTTGATCTACCTAATGAGAAGCATGCAATATGCTGTGTAAAATGGTTAGAGTAGAACATAGGTGTGGTTTGAACCTGTAAATGCATGGTTAGAATGATGCTTTCATATTAGAAGTTATTCACTATTGTGCATCCATTGTTATGGGGAACACTAAAACCTATTTTTTGTAGTTTTGAGCAGCAGGAATATATAAATGTAACATGAGATCATATCTCTATTGCTGAGCACTATATGAAGTTTTTCACATATACTATGCATGTTTACCAATTCATATCATATTTGCTGTCAATTTCATATCACCAGGCCTGTTTTATTGATGTAACAAAAGCCCCAGAACTATAGCAACATTCAAAGATGCAGCATTGCAAAAAGATACAAGTGGTTTTAGCAAATATGACCAAAGCACTAGGCCTGCAGTATCTGCACTGAACTGGGAAAAGTTGCTAGTGAGTTACTATATGGTACTTGGGAACAAAGATGTTATTGTTTGTGGTGGGACGGACACAAAAATGAATACCATTTTTATGACTGTTTAGGTTATTTTCACAACACATGAGTATCAAAGCAATTTGCTAATAGCAATAGTGCCCATCACCTACCTGCAGGCTAATTTTTAAGAATACTATGAAAACAGATTTAAAAGGCTGCAAGCATGGTTCTGATAATTTCTAGCGCACATCGGGGGTGACTTACAGCTTTGGAGCGAGGCAAGGAACCTAAACCACACAACAAAAAAACAAATGAAATCAATGTTTTTCTCTCCATGTGAACTTGCAATGCAAGCATTCAGTTCATTAACATTGCACTCATCAGAACCAAGAAAATATCAGGCAAACAAGGACAATGTCTTGAACAATAAACATGATAAGCTTAAGTCTCAACGCACCTTGACGCACAGCCCTGCCCAAACTGGCGCAGCGAATCCCACGCTAAGCACCCACAGCAGGCCGGGAATATGACTTCCAATTGGCACTTCTTATTCCCACTTCGTCATTTAAGTATTGAAAAGGAAAACTGGAAGCAGAAAAGGAAGTAAATGATTATTAACCTACGTGCCACCCCTCGGGGTTATTCACCAAACACCGCGTTCTGGTAATGTTGCGGGCTACAAGTTTTCCCGCGAATTTTCGGGGCCGCTGTACCCGAAAAAAATATTGAAGAAAATACTTAAAGACGTCTAACAACATAAGATTTGTTAACCGCAACAAATTCAAAAATTATGTAACCATTTTAGAGTCATGTAAAATTTGTATAAGTCTTTGCCTTAGGGATATACGGTGCAGAGAAGACCAAATGCCATCAGAGGGCGTATGATACACACCACACATGTCGACTCAGCAGGAAACACAGCGCCAAAGCAGCACAACAAAGGCAAAGCCGAACCGGCAGGTAGGAATGGCTCAGCGCGAAGCCGAACCCGAAGCCGGAGCAGAAAAACTGGTGCTTTGCGGGACCAGCGCCGAGGCAGAAGACGGCTGTGTCCAGGCGCCTGAGCGTGTGCATTTTTCGAAGATTGCACGTGAAAGCAATCGAAAATAAAATGAAAAATCACGTTATTTTTGTTGATGCTAGCGTCCTCAGCGATAAGCAATTAGTCAGAACTGTGACTGTCTCTTAACCTGCTGTTGTCTACCATAGGCCCCAAAGTAAAACCAGTAAGGATGCCGGTATTCCGATGTCATTCCGAGGCGGACACAGGATTTCGTGGAGCGAGGTGCAACGCTTTATTGTGGCGCCCCTGGAACTTGGTGCTCTCCCTCACAAAAAGTCTCCGCCAATCGGTAACGGTATTTCGGATCCTTATTTCCCAAACGTTAAACTATCTTCAGCCGGTTTGGTGCGTCGGATGCAACCCACTTAATTTTTTTCAGGTCAATTTTCTTTTAGTTGTATGTTAAACTTCTGTGACTAAGAGAAGCCAGCGGCTGCCAGAAGAATCCAGTCATCACACATTTAGAAGGAAATAAAATGCAATCGAACAGTAATTAAATGACTTCATCAAATAAACAATGACAGTGGCCATTTGTCGCCTCACGATGGGTCATTCGTGTCCATATGTAAATTACTCTCTTTAATTCATTTCAGCTATTGGGTCCATGGTTGAAACAAAGCGAGGTGTTCGGTACCTACAACTGGGGTCCCTGACTGAAACAGATCCGTTTCATTGTCTCATTGTGGATCCTTTAATTGTCATTTTGTATATATTCTTGCCAGAGGGCTCCAACCAGGACAAGAGGCCTTCTTACGTTCGCGATGGCGTCCATGTCCTTGCTCAGGAAGTGTGGTCCTGCCCAACTCGAGGGCCCTTGCCGGCCCTACACCGTATGCCTTTGACTGGCACAGGAAGCCCTTCAAGAGGACTCCGACCATTCAAGAGACGTTCAATGAGGACCGCATGTCCCAACCTTGTCCTTGATTGCGGAGTGGCCCCCGAGCCCAGACCGACACGGAGCCGATTGTTAGGCATTTGTGGTTTCTCACTTACGGCAATCCCATTACCCCAGAGGATCCCTGTCGGTGCGCAAGGCCCCGGAATGACGTGTGGGGCTTATGCCTTGCGGGCTGAATTCCTTTAATGGAACCTGCAATGGACCGTTTGGGCTGCTCGATCCCTCCGATCGGGCCCATGATGGTCGGTCCCGAGGTGCCCCTGTCCCCTGCCTGCGTCCCTTGCTGTTGTCTGTCAACCACTGGTGCACGTCCCGCCCGATGTCGAGTGTATAACGGTGACGCCAGGACGTGTGAGCGTGTTCGTGTATATGTCTGAAATGCGAAGCATTATATGTAACATGAGGGAACAAAATGTATGGGTCCCCACAGACTCCAAGCTGTATTTAGGGTTTGTCACTGGAACATTTCCGACGCACAGATGAGGCCACTTGTCCCTTTCCGCCCACCTGGGTTCCGCGAGGACCGAACAGCAAAAAGCGAAATCAAGATTGTACCGTTTTCAAGGTAAGTCTGTACAGTTCAAAGGATTGGACTGGTGCGTATTTATTTAGCAATGTTGAAGTTGTCCCCTGGACGAATTGCAGGGAACGTTTCACATTTGAAGACCTTGAAGCAAACATCAGAAATGATGAATCGAGCTCACTTTTAACTATTCGTATACGTTTGAGAAAGGCTGAAAAAAGAAAAGAAAAAGACTGCTCGGGACGGCACAATCCTCTGTATTAGTAAATATGTTGGTTAAGGCGTCGGGGCTTGGTTGCGGCATCGTGCCGTGTACGATGCCGTGCCGTGCCGTGCCATGCACGATGCCACAACCAAACCACGCATTTGATTGAGAGCCAGTTGACCGTTTACCTGAAAATCGCGCTCACAAACGCCACATATGAACACAACGACAATGATATTTGTTTTGGTATTGATCAACGCATTGTTTATGGGATGACAGAATTGAAATGACTATTATGACGTCATGAGTGCCAAGGTGAATTTGAAATACTCTCCCCGATATACATCTTCCCATTTTTGCGGGTGTGTAGCCCAGAAAACAGAGGAGCTTATGTCTTAAGAAAGGCAGGATTGCGAGTAGCACCGAAAGGTCTCCAAGACGGCTATTTCAATTTAAAACCCCACACAAATATGGAACGCTCCCTTTTATAAAGGTGCACTCAAGGGCATGTCGACACGCACAAAAACATGGGCGTGAAGCAACATGTACCTATCTCATATGACAAGCGTTTGAATTCAGCAGCTGATGCGACTTTTCTAAACATACTTTTGGCGTTCAGGTGAGAAGTGCATGTACTTAGCCGAACAATAGAACTCGTTATATATGGGGTGCCGGTAGTGTAGTGGTTAAGGCGTCTGCGTTAATCACTGCGCGTCTGGGAAACCAGAGGTACGGGGTTCGATTCCCCGCGGTGTCCGCCCTTCCTGCCAGGGTGAGAGGCAGGCGACGCCATATAGCCTCAGCAGCTGAGTGCGTCGTAAAGCCCCAATGACATGACAACTCCTTATGTTGATACCAGACTATGGTTGCATTCATGTCATTCAATGATTATATTGGTATCAGTTTATGGTTAGTAATTGCAGACTAAAATTTCATTGGTGTCAGATTTCGGTTGCATCGGTGTCAGACTATGGTTGCACTGATGTCAGACTATAGTTGCATTGATGTAGAACGCGTACCATCTGTGAATGTATACTAACACGAACCACACGACATGGTGGTTGCAGTCAAAATTCTAAGAGAGACATATCTGTTCACATTTTGTATAGATGCCGTCAGCTGAGATGGTTCGAAGCCGACATGATCCAGCGGCAAGGATAACCATTTGCTTTCATTTAATATCATGCGCAAGCTAATGTCTACTAAACGTGCGCTTCACAATCAGTTTTCACCTTTCTCAGTGGGATGATTATTAATTGTACACAAAACATTTCGACGCTGACTCATATAAATACAAGCCACTGCATTTCGGGCAGCAATCCTCCCTCAGGTTCTAACGAGTCATGAGATGGGCCAAAGCGCAACAAATTGCGGTGACGAACACGTTGCCTACACCGTATTTCCATACAAATAACCTTCAAAATTACCTACCAAAACAATCCAAGCATCCCGACCGTCTGATCCGGCGTCAGCGGTGCCCGGGCCGTTTGATCCGGCGCCAGTGGTGCCCAGCCGTCTGATCCAGCGCCAGTGGTGTCCCGGACGTGTGGTCCGGCGCCAGCGGTGCCCCGACCGTCTGGTCCGCCGCCGGTGGTGCCCAGCCGTCTGATCCAGCGCCAGTGGTGTCCCGGACGTGTGGTCCGGCGCCAGCGGTGCCCCGACCGTCTGGTCCGGCACCAGTGGTACCCGACCGTCTGATCACGCGCCAGTGGTGCCCCAACCGTCTGATCGGGCACTAGTGGTGGCCGACCGTCTGATGCGGCGCCAGTGGTACCCCAACCGTCTGATGTGGCGTCAGTGGTACCCCAACCGTCTAATGCGGCGCCAGTGGTGCCCAGCCGTCTGATCCAGCGCCAGTGGTGCCCCGGCCGTCTGGTCCGGCGCCAGCGGTGCCCCGACCGTCTGGTCCGGCACCAGTGGTACCCGACCGTCTGATTCGGCGCCAGTGGTGTCCGACCGTCTGATTCGGCGCCAGCAGAGCCTCGGGCGCCGGCACGGGCGGCGCGTGGGGTCATAAAAGGGAAAGGCAGCCGGGCGGCAGACGATGGCCACACGGCCCGCGCTGGCTGTCGCCCCGAGCGGGGCCTGTCCCGGCCCGATGACAATCGCAATGGCGCAAGGCTATTGAACTCAGGCGGCAGCGCAGCTAGACGTTGTGAAAACTGAAACGCTGAATGCTCAGTAAGGTGTTTGGTGAGGAAATTGCGTTTCCATCAATGCATAGGTAAACGAGACAAGGAAATAGGTCTGTGTGGCGTGTTCACGGATGCTTTCTAGCAATATATCACTAAAGATGTGCGTACAAGATAAAATGCAGTATAAGGCGTCTCCGTGCATTTTAGAACGTGTCGAAGCGCTGTCCAGACCAAATTTATGGAATGACATGGAATGTACACCACCTGAGCATAATTTCTGCTGACATCAATATCGTTCACATTTCGGGGGTCTGGACTCTTTTCTTCGTCTGCAATCAAAGGATCTGCAAACACTGCGTTGCAGCACACATGCAGTTAAATACAAATGCATGTATCCGGCCAACGACGGAGCCGCAACAAGCCTGCGCTATCGCTGATGGTACCACTCAGCTTATGCTAATGCCGCAGGAAGTTTCTGACGGATTGCCGGTTTCTCGGACAAACCAAACTGCACATGCAGAGAGCACGTGACCGTGCATGATGCAACTCCACGGAAATATAGTGCGGAAAAAGCTATAAATGCAAGGCTGCCTGCGAGACGCTGCGCCGTTTGCACGGGCAGACGAGGTCAGAGACGACGCGAGACGGTAGATAGGAAAGGCCGCGGAATGGGAGGCGGTGGAAGGAGATGGTGCAGAGACGGGAGACTAGAGGCGATTTACAACGGAAATAAGGAAGTGAGGCGATGGGGCAGGAGACGGCGGAGACCGCGCTTTGTGCAGACGGGAGACTCCGGAGAATGAAGGCTGAGTCGGGAGACGGTGGGACTGGATACAACGGAGACGGGGGGGGGGGGGTTTGATGTAACGGAGGCAGGGTGCAACTGGACACGGAGATTTCGGGAGCGCAAACAGGGACAGCGGGGAAAGCGCACGTAATAGACAGGAGATTCATGAGGAGAAGCGACGGAGGCAAGAGGGGGCAGAAAGAGAAGACCAGAAGGGGGCAGGAGATAGTAGGGGTGGGAGGGGGACGCGTCAAGGATGGGCGGCTCACGCCTCACCGAACGCAAGGTTATATCGCGATGCACCAAAGACAGCGAGACGCCGACGGTGGGCTAGACAGCCGGCCCAGGGTGGCCGTGACTAGGTCAGCGAGGACAGGTTTCTGGCGGTGACTTGGGCCGGCCGCCGCGGCCCGTGCCGGCCCCAGTCAGCTCGCCACCGGCCCGCGAGCGAGGCACGCGAGAGGCCCGGAGAAGGCGGGACAAGCCACGGCCGGGGGGACGGGGAGCGGACGGAGCGGCGGTGAGCGGGAGCGGACGCGGACCGAGCGACGACGAGCGGGAGCGGACAGCGGACGGAGCGGTGGTGAGCGGGAGCGGACAGCGGACGGAGCAGCGGTGAGCGGAAGCGGACAGCGGACGGAGCGGCGGGGAGCGGGAGCGGACAGCGGACGGAGCGGCGGTGAGCGGGAGCGGACAGCGAACGGAGCGACGGCGAGCAGGAGCAAACAGCGAACGGAGCGACTGCGAACGGGAGCGGACAGCGGACGGAGAGACGGCCAGCGGGAGCGGACAGCGGACGGAGAGACGGCCAGCGGGAGCGGACAGCGGGCGAAGCCAACTGATCGCAAGTCCACAGGTGTCAGGTAAGTCGAGCAGGGGCGGCGGAGACGGGACACATAGCAGACAGGGGGCTACGTGTTGGTGAGTGGAGACGGCCGCTACGCTACGTTGGTGAGTGGAGACGGCCGCGCCCTCCCTTCCAATGAGATCTCGATCGGTGGTCGGCTGGGGCCGGTTCGAACTGTTGGACTGTCGGAAAGTCGCAGGCCCCGGACGATGCGCCATCCTGGCGGGAACATCGCATTGGTTGGAAAGGGGTCGCCAGCAGTGAGGCGGGCGGGCGCGCCTTGCGGATGAATGCGAGGCTCCGCGCTGGCCAGGTGAGCAATGGTGGAGAGAGAGCTGTACTCCGGCCGCTTCCCTACACAAACAGGCCGTGTACGGCTGTCAATGTCACCCGGCCACCTCCTAATCCGTTGTTGATCAGCTGCTAAACCGGTCTTGGAGTTCTGGCGTCGTACGACGGTACACAAAAGGGGGCAGGCACGGAGTCGGACGGTGGCAGACGGAAATTCGTCGTATTCACGCACAGGTTCTATAACAGTGTCATCATCAATTTGCGCTATCATGTAAGAATACGGTGATTCCGGTGGTGAGAGGACATGGTGTATGCAAAGCAAACCACGGTGCCGTGCTACTGTGCGAGTGC